CTAATGGATTGACGAAGTGAGGGTTCCTCTAATATGACCTTTCTCATGGTTTGTTGAGTAGACAGAGCTGCCAGCGATTCGGCCTTATTTTGGCGGTAGTTCAACTTCCAGTGACAATACTGCTTCAACTCTGAACATCAGTGAATAAGGAGTGGCTTTGGTTGGTGTTTTGTAGGTTATACGATATGCCCATAGTATCTCTGTCATCTTTATATGTCAATCTCTTTTATTCTTAGTGAGGATCTTTTTTAACAATTTTATCAGCATCTTGTTAAAGGCCTCCGCCAAGCAATTTGCTCTTGAGTTGTATATTGATGATTATAGCTAATCCATTTATGCCGATTAAAGAACTTATACTTTTTTTTTTTGAATGCAATGTCGTTGTCTGAGATTATGCGGCGTGGCACACTAAATATGTAGATGACGTTATACATGAAGAAGTTGATCACATGCTCAGATGTTACTTCTTTAAAGAGAGCCACTTCTGCCCACTTAGTATACTAGTCTGTTGCTGCCAGAATAAAGCAGTGTCACGCTGAAGATGGCGGATCTATTGGCCCAATTATGTATGTGCCCCAACATTCAAATGGCCAGTATGCTATTGTTGGGTGCAATGGATTTGGCGGTTGATATATAACATCACCGTGGATTTGACATTCATAACACCTCTTAGCGTGATCAATACAATTTCTCACCATTGTCGGCCAATAGTAACCCATTCTTTTAATTTTAGCTGCCATATTGGGACCTAACTGATGTGCACCAAAAAATCCTTTATGGACTTCTGCTACTACTTTATTGGCTTCATTGGTCCCTAGGCATCTTAGCCACATCTGATCAAAAGCTCGTCGATACAGTGTATCATTGACAAACGCGTATCGCAACGCCCTTTTTTGAATTTGTGCAGCTAGAGATTTATCTATCGGGAGTTTACTTTCTTTGAAATAGTTAATGAATGGCTGCCTCCAATCATCTCCTTCCTAAATATCTAAGCAATATAGCCACAACTCTGGGCATCTACTGGGTTTACGTCTCTTGACTACATGGCGTTCGTATGGTTGATTTTTAAGAGCAACTTGTTGGGGAGGTTGAGGATCAACGGAGGTTGTATCCTGCTGGCTTGAATCTAGTATTCCCTCTACCTGCGGGAATTGCAAGATTACCAGCTTTAAAAGACCCGATAGTCGTGAACCATAATTGGTATATGCATCTCCTCGTCGGTATTCGCCACATCCTTGGCTAACTTATTGGAGGATATTTAAATGGACATGTTAGTAGAGAGATAGATGGTTTTAAAAACATTCATGTGGCTATGGGCTTAGAACGACATAAGAAAGTGGTAAGACTATATTAGATTTTTCTTTAACTTATAATTTTTTAATAGCTAATATCTTATTTAAGAAAAGAGATGAGCATCTTGTCACTTATAAAAATAGATATAGTAAAACACAGATTAATTATTTTTTTATAAAAAATTAGATCATTTAGATTACAAAGATTGTAAACTTATTCCGAGTAAAAATTTATATATCCAACATCGATTATTAGTTTTGGACTTTAAGATAAAGAGGCAGAAAATAAAAAATAAATTGAAATAATTTTCTATGATTAGATAGGGACATTTAAAGAATATTAACAAAAGTATTTTTGAGAGTAAAATTTTAGATTTTAAGATTTTTTTTCTGCATGAGGATGTTAATGTTATGGGGAAAAAATGGCTAGTGATATTAAGATTATTACAAAAGATGTGCTTGTAGTTTCAAAGGAAAAATCTCCTAATAGTAAAAATAGTTGGTAGTGGAATCCAAATGTACAAGAAAAGATAAAAATTAAGAAGATTTGTTATAAAAATTTGTTTAAATATAAAAATTCGGATAATTGGGAAGGCTATAAAGAGACTCGTAAATAATCTAAGAAAGCAATTTGTGATCCAAAGAACTTAGCTTTTAATGATTTATATAACAAATTAGATACTAAGAAGGGAGAAAGATATATGTATAAGTTAGCCAAACAAAAAGATAAGAATAGTAAACATTTAGTTCAAGTTAAGTGTATTAAGGTTGAAGATCAAAAAGTACATTTTTTAGAACATGATATTCAACAAAGGTAGATGAGATATTTTGCTAAACTTTTTAATCAAGATTGTGAAAATATGATTGACTTTAGTGGCTTTACTACCATAAATGAAAATAAAGATTTTTATTTTTATTAGTGTATTAGTAAAACCAAAGTTAGAGAGGCTTTAAAGAAAATGAAGTATGGAAAAGCTGTTAAACCAGATGATATTCCAATAGAGATGTGAAAATGCTTAGGAGATGGAGGAATTTTTTGGCTTACTAAAATTTTAAATATTATTTTGAAGATTAAAAAGATGTCAGATCAGTGGAGATTGAGTGTGTTAATTCATATTTTTAAGAATAAAAGTGATTCACAGGAGTGTGAGAATTATAGATGAATTAAATTAATGTGTCATACTTTAAAATTATGGGAGCGAGTTATGGAACGTAGGTTGCGGAGTGATACTAATATTTCTCAAAATCAATTTGGATTCATGCCGGGTAGGTCTACTATGGAAGCCATACATTTATTGAGAGATTTGATAGAGAAATATAGAGATAATAAGGAGGATATACATATGATATTTATTGATTTAGAGAAAAGCATATGATAAAGTTCCAAGAGAAGTGCTATGGAGAGTTTTTGAAAAGAAAGGGGTTAATAACGCTTATATTCAAATCATTAAAGATGTGTATGCAGGAGCTATTACTTGTGTTCAAACACAAGGTGGTTTGACCAAGTATTTTTTCTATTTCGGTTGGATTACATCAAGGATCAGCCTTAAGTCCATATCTTTTTGCTTTAGTCATGGATGTTCTCACTAGACTTTTGCAAGAGAATGTACCTTGGTGTATACTTTTTGCTGATGATATTCTTCTTGTTGATATGATTAGAGAGGGAGTTGAAGGTAAACTTGAATTATGGAGGTCAACCTTAGCGTCTAAAGGTTTTTGCTTGAGTTGATCTAAAATTGAATATATGGAGTGTAATTTTAGATCTGGTGAGAGGATTGTGACTTTGGGCAATCAAGTCATTGATAAGAGTACACATTTTAGATATCTTGGATCTATTGTTCAAAGTGATTGTGAAATAGATAGGGATATTATGAGCAGAATTCAAGTTGGATGGTTGAAGTGGAGGAATGCTTCGAGCTAGTTGTGTGATAGAAAAGTCTCCCTCAAACTTAAGGGGAAATTCTATAAGATGGTGGTGAGACCCAATGTTTAAAATTGCGTATTCGGGTATTGAGGCGTTTTTCATTCGTGAGGCAAGGCGTAAGCCTCAAGGCGTTTTGAGGTGTAAGCCTCAAAATCAAAAGATTGCGTAAACTTAAATTGACAAAATTTTTATATACTAATGAATGAATAATATAAAACATAAAAAAGCATAATTATAAAGTGAAATCAAAATATCCTAATAATAAGACAACATGAAATATAGTTAACTCAAAATTCTATCTTTCCCAAATCCTAGTATTCTTTTCATTAACATATAATTCCAATTTTCAAAAATAAATAGCAATGACATATCACATAAGAACTCATAAGTCATCAGCACTGTCATCACTAAGGGGTTCTTCATTTGAATCATCATTATGATGAACTGCTCTCTCCCCTTCCTCCTCTCCTATAGAGTCCAATGTCATGCATTTACTTCAAGATTTATGTAAGTTTTAATATATATATAGCTTGAGGCGTAAGCCTTATGCCAGTGAGGCGAGGCGGGCCTCAACCAAGTTGAGGCGCAAGCCTCATAAAAAAAACTCGATGAGTAAGCATCGAGGCGTTTTTTACTAGAATTGCGCAAAGGCGAGCCTCATATTGCGCAATTTTAAGCCATGGTGAGACCTGCAATGCTTTATGGTGCTGAATGTTGGCCATTAAAAGAGAAGCATAATACTAAGTGTTACAGATATGAGAATGCTTAGGTGGATGAGTGGTTTTACCCTTATAGATTAGATACGAAATGAGCTTATAAGTGAAAAGGTTGGAGTAGCTCCAGTGGAAAGATAAGATTAGAGAGAGTCGCCATAGATGTTTTGGCCACATTAAACAGAGGCCTTCCGATGATCTTGTTAGGAAAGTTGAGGTATTAAATTTGACTTATGTTAAGAAAGATAGAGGTATACTTAGAAAATATTAGAAATGATCTTTCTTTATTAGATTTAAATGAGAATTTGACGTCTAACATGACACAACGGCGAAAAAGGATTAATGCAGCCGACCCCATGTAGTGGGACAAAGGCTTGATATTATTGTTGTTGTTGTTGTTGCAGATGGATCAAATTTTTATCAGCTTTAGTAACTTGTTTATTTAGTATTTTAATTGATCATTTTAGGATTCATTAAAATGACTTAAGGCTATGTTTAGATGTTGATAAATCAGAATAAAAAGGAAATGTACTTGCAGCATGTCTGAAGTTGATGATAATTGGGATAAAGGGATTGATGCAGATGTTCAATAGGCATATTAATTTAATGCAATTCTTTCTTATTTCTCAATTTCAATGAACTAATTTGTTAGTACTTATCTATGTTATATGATTACAAAAAAGCTTGCTCGCAACTTATTTATCATCTCATTTAAATGGTGTGAAGTGGTTAGATACTAATTCCAAATTTATTCAATTTCATGTTTGTTTAGATTTATAAAATTATTTGTTAATTCCTCTTAATATGAAAAGCCAAGTACACGTTCGAATTTTACCTTATTCAATGAATTTAGACAAGTCAAATATGATTATTAAAATTAAACAAGCCAAGTATGAACATATAAGTGAAGCTCCGCTCAAACTTGAAATAAAATAAACAACTTATAAAATGACCAAGAAAAATCTAATCCATGAGATATTTAACTTGGCTCGATCACAACTCTTAACAGCACCTACCACCAATTAAATTTTTATGAAGTTGGAATATAGGGAATCAATAGAAAGAAAGGACCTGAAATGAAGCAAGTAAAGTGAATATCACGTTGCCATGTTGTTTAGCTTCCACTCTTCTAGTAGCAAAGCTATTTCCATCTCGTGCACGATAAACTTGATATATTATTGGCGCTGCAGGAAAGCAATTAGACAATTGACAAAGTATTATTTATTTCTTTCAGTGGAATTAACAAAATTATACTAAACAAAAAGATTAAAAAAGAAAACAGTAGTTCAAGGTAATGTTTAAGCACTTATGGGATTTGAGATTAATGATGGACATAGAGCTTGGATACTAATGATGGAAAAATACAACTAGGCTTGAGAAAATTAGATCTATAAATATTTTACCAAGTAACCAAACTAAGATTGCAACTTAAGTTCAACGGCGCTATCACATATTTCTCATCATTTAACAGTGTATTAAATTGCATTTCGCATTCTTTTATGTTAAACTAATGCACTACGATGAAATAAACAAACAAGAATCTAACGCATGCTGAAAATTAGAAATTCAATATTTATATAGTTCTTACGGCAAATCAGACTTTCATGAATAAAATTACTTGAAATTACTCAAATAGAGGTCATTATTTTGGTCTGTCATCAGATTTCATCTGTTGGTATCTTTGAAATTGAGTTGTCCTTACAAAAGAATCCTCATCTTTTTCTTAAATAAGTTCTATTTCAATCATCAAAATGGAACGTGAAGCAGGTCAACCAGAGAAATTTGAAAAAAATGAGGAGTATATTGTTGAAATAGAGAGATTTGAGAGAAAAACAATAACTTTATTATAGAACAAATCTCTCTTTATAGATCTATACAAGAGGTCTTACTAAGGAAATACATAACTATAAAATAATGAATAATTGTTGTAATATAATCCTTCCTAAATCATATATCTAGCTATGGAAGATACTCAATGCTTCCCACGGATCTCTATCCAGCACCGTTGGATTCATACAGGAATTAGGGGCTGTGATTTAACACTCCCCCTCAAGCTGAGGAATACAAATTTTTCATTCCCAGCTTGGCAATCATTCTGAGAAAGGTAGAGTTGTTTAATCCTTTGGTAATGATATCTGCAAGTTGTTCTTTAGATGATACATGATTGATGCTTATTAGACCATAGTCTAATTTTTCTTTAATAAAGTGTCTGTTCACTTTTATGTGCTTAGCCTTGTCATGGTGGACTGGATTGTGGGCTATAATGATTGCTGATTTGTTGTCACAATATAGCTTCATGGGATCATCTCACTTGATCTTTAGGCCTTCTAGAATCATTTTGATCCATAGTAACCCATATATTCTAAGGGATATAGCTCTATATTTTGCTTCTACACTCGATCTTGCCACCACATTTTTTTTTCTTGCTTCTCCATGTAACTAGGTTCCCTCCAAGGAATGTGCAATACCCAGAGGTAGATCTTTTGTGTACTAGTGACCTTGCATAATCAGCGTCAGTGTATGCTTCTAAGGTTATTCCATGGTCTCTTCTAAATATAATGCTTTACCTGGATTTCCCTTAAGGTAATGTGGTATTCTCTCTACTGCTTGCATATATGTTTGTTTTGAATTTTGCATAAACTGACTGACCATTCTTACAGCAAATAATATATCTGGTATGATGTGAAAAAGGTAGATCAATCTTCCCACAAGTTTCTGGTAAGCACCCTTGTCTACATCTAGATCTTCTTTAGCTTCCCCAATTTGAGATTTGGTTCTACTGGTGTTGGTGCTGGCTTGCATGCTAGTTTTCCTGTCTCCTTCAAAAGATATTTAATGTATTTTTGCTGTGAGATGAAGATTCCACAACTGGAGTGAGCTACTTCAATTCCAAGAAAGTATTTTAGTCTACCAAGTTCTTTAACATCAAATTCCTTAGATAGGTTTTTTCTTAGACTTATTTTCTCCTTTTCATTACTCCCAATCAGAATAATATCATTCACATACACCAATAGTATTGTAACTTCTCATGTGTCTGAATGTTTGAAAAATAATGTATGATCCCCTCAGCTTTGTTTATACCCATTAAGGGACATGAATTTAGAGAACCTTCCAAACCAGGCCCTTGGTGATTATTTGAGCTCATATAGGGCCCTTTTCAATTTGTGCACCTTGTTACCTCTAGAATTTTCCTTAAATCCTGGTGGCATTTCCATGAATATTTCTTCTTCCATATCCCAATGTAGGAATGCATTTTTTACATTCAATTGTTCTAGATGCCAATTGTACTTAGTTGCTATTGAGAGTAGAATTTTGATAATGTTCATCTTGGCTACTAGTGCAAAGGTTTCCTGATAGTCAATGTGATATGTCTGAGTGTACCCTTTTGCCACTAGTCTTGCTATGTATCTTTCCAATATGCCATCAGCTTTGTATTTACAGAGAACACCCATTTGCAGCCGACTGATTTTTTTCCCTGTCGGTAGATTGATGATCTCCCATGACTTATTCTTTTATAGGGCCTGCATTTCATCTTTCATGGCATTTTTATAATTTGCATCAGATAGTACCTTAGAAATATCATTAGGAATATGAATATCATCTAGTGTAACCAAGAAGTTTTTGTGTTGGAAGAAAAAATTCTTGAAGGATATAGAGTTGGTTATAGGGTATAAGGGAGGTGGAGAATTTACCTTATTTTCATAAGATGGTTCAGATTCTTAGATCTGCTTCGGAGGACATGTTGAACTTGTACTCCAGAAATATACCTTCTCAAATCTAAGGATAGTTTTGTCTTCAGCTTCCCTATTTAGAATTTCAGGAGGATTGATTTGATGTGGTGGAGGAAGGTCAAGAGGGGCAAGCATGCTTTCATTATCTTCTTCTGTTTCAGTTTCCCCCTGAAGATGAGGTTTGGTAAAGTAGAAATTTTGTTCATCAAAAGTGACATCAATGAATACAAGCATTTTCTTTGTAAGGGGTGATAACATTTACAACCTTTTTGGGTGGCAGAGTATCCAATGAAGATACATTTGAATGACCTTGGATCTAGTTTTCTTCTGTTTTGGTTGTGGATGGGAACATATAGATAGCGCACCCAAAAATTTTGGATGTAAGGTTATTATGGTTTCAAGACTTGGGGTAAAAGGAGGACAAAATATACATTGGAGCTTTCTTCCCCAAGGTTTTTTATGGTAGTCGACTTATGAGGGTAGGAGGCAATTAGGAGAGCTGCCCCCACCCCCCCCCCCCTAGGATTTGGGTATAGTGTGGTGGAGCAGGAAGGCACGAATAGAGGTTAGGAGGTGACCATTTTTTCTTTCCACAACCCCATTTTGTTGTGGGGTGTGAATTAGGAGGATTTGTGAATGATATCTTCACTTTGAAAGTAAGAGTATAGGGTTTGGTTGAAATAGTCTTTAGCATTGTTAGAACTAAATATTTTTATTTTGACCCCGAATTGATTCTGGATCATGGTGTGAAAATAGGAAGAATGATGCTAACGTCATATTTATTTTTGAGTAGTAGATCCAAGAAACTCGAGTACAGTCATCAATGAAAGATACAAACCAGCGAGCCCTAGAATGTTGGGGATTTTTTAGGGTCCACGTATGCCACTATGAATGAGATAGAAAAGAGTATTGCATCTCTCATTCTTGTTTGGAAAAGAGGTTCTTTTATGTTTGACTAATCCACAAGTTTCACAATGGAAATTTTCATTTTCCAATTTATGAAAAAACTTTAGATACATTGTTTCAAGACTTCTAATGATGGATGTCGTAATATGAAGTGATTAAGACAGATAGTAGATTTCTTGTCAACTAGGGATAACATAGAATAGCTATTTTTAGATTTGCTCAGCTCTTCCAAGTAGTATAGTCCAACTCTCTCCTTAGCAAGTCCAATCGTCTTTCCCGATCTCTGGTCCTGAAATAAGTAAAAGGTAGGGCTAAATCATTCTTGACAATTATGATCACTAGTAAGTTTTTGTATGGATATAATATTTGTGAATAATTAAGAAACATGGAGTACATTTTTTTAGAGTGAGGGAAGGGGATAAGGGTATGTCTCATTGGCCTTCTACTTTGGCAAAAGAACCATCAGTAGTGATGATTTTCTTTTCTATTGAGCAAGGATCATATTTGATGAAGTGAGTAATGGAGTTTGTTATGTAATCTGTGGCTCCTGAGTCAATGATACATATTTCTTTCAAATGATTTATAGAGATACTTAATCCAGTGAATATGTGAAACTTACTTGAAAGTGCAAGAGAGGAAGATGCAGGTGATTTTTCAAGGGATACCATGAGTTGTCTGAGTCTTTTAATGTGTTCTTTATTGAAGCTGGTTAGTGTTTCTGGGTTAGGCTGACTTATTGTGGTGTTAGCATATGAGGTGTCTATTTTCTTATTTCTTTGGTTTCACTCCTTACTTGTGGGCTTTCCATGTATCTTCCAGCATGTCTCTTTCATATATCTTGGCTTCTTGCAATAAGTACACCAAAGAGAGTCTTTTTCTTTGAATTTTGCAGTCTTTAACTTTCTCCTTCCATAGAACTTCTTTGATCACCATTATTGAGCTCTCAACAAATTTTGGCTCCAACATTACCCCTCATTAGCTCTCTTCAGCACGAATGAGAACAATGGTTTCATTTAGTGATGGCGTCTCTTTGCCAAGGATCTAGACACTTGATCAAAATTCTATATTTAGTCTTACAAGAAAATCATAATTTCTATTTTTTTCAATGAAGTTCTTTAGAATGGTAGCATATTCTGGACATTTGGTCTCTATGCATATATAGTGATCAAGTTCTTGCCATAGGTTTTGTAGAAAAGTGGCATACTCCGCCACAGTCTTGCTTCCTTGTTTGGTGCTTCCTACTTTGATTTTGATTTCAAAAATTTGAACAGCATCTCGAGCTTTTGAGAATATTTTTCTGGCGCTATGATGCACCGACACTCCGCTTGAAGAGGAAATGCAGTGTCAGACACGTGTCAGACACGGACACGCGCCCAACACGGCACATACATATGTCTGACACGGCTCCGGCGTGTCTTATTTGACAACAACAACAACAACATCAAGCCTTTATCCCACTACGTGGGGTCGGCTACATGAATCCTTTTTCTCCATTGTGTCCTATTAAAAGTCAAATTCTCGTTTAAATCTAATAAAGAAAGGTCATT